TTAGGGGAGTAACAAGATATTTAAAAAGGAAGATATCATAGTTGCAGGAAAAAAAAATATTTCAAAATAAATAAATACTTGTTACGGTTATGTAAGACAAAGCATTTACGGGCGTTGATAAATGGTGAGCCAAGTTATATAAGTATATCGTTATCTTCAAACCTCAATGAAGTTGTCAAAGGGAAAATAATGACAAGATTTTCTTGGAAACTACCGAACATCGTCCTACTTATAAATACTGCTCAAGCGAGGAAATGGGTTGAAAACATTTCTGACGAAAACAAAATTTTTAAAAAATTAAAAATTTATAGTAAATAGTTCGTAAAAACCATTCAAAATTTGAAAGAACGATAGGGGTTACATTTTTATTTAGAAAGTAAGATCTAAAAAGAAACAATGATTTTACATGCATAGAGATTGAATTATTATTTTTTTTTTTTTTAAAGAAAGGTTTTCATTACTCAAAAATATTTTTTCAAGGGCAAGAACAAGTCAGGTTAAACATTTTTCTTTAAATATAAGAAAGTTGGGTGGTTTGTTTGTTGTTTTTTTTCAGTTTAGGGGCGTGAGAATTTTTTAAGAGATAAAGAACCGAAGTGGCTATTCGTACCCGGTTTCCAGATGTGAGAAGTTAGGATTAAAAAACTATTTAAAATTTTATTGTTTGGTTTGTAAGACAAAATGAGGTATCAAATGAACGATAACATGTAGTCCATTCAGTTTGTAAACTTAATTCTTCAGTTTAACTAAAATAAACTACCACAAATGACATCCGAATATCATCGAGTCAAAATGAACCCAGACACACAGCGCCGCCATTCGCACCCGGGTAGGTGGACACTTCGCAAGAGCTGGTGGAAAGAAGTGCAGTGCCCCTTCCATTACTGTCCCGCTAACAATGTGTCTTATTTTCTAGTTTAAAAAAATTATATAAGCACACACTAAATGCAGTATAAAAATATTATCTATTGTTAGTGCACAAAATGGAATGCTAAGTAACATAACAGAATACAAAGTAACTATATATGATATTATTTATCTTTTCCCTTACTTACCTTGCTTAAAATGAATGTTTCAGTTGAATGGCTAACTAATAAGTTTATTTGGGAATAAGTCAGGTCTACTTTATAATTTACGTATAATTTGCAGTGGCTCCAGTGCTAAACAATGGCAGTAGACTGGACTTATAATTGTCCGATACTGACTTAAATCATTTGGAAACACTGGAGGCAGCCTCAAAAACTTCAAAGCGTCTTTTTGTTCTTGAACATCATTTCCTTTTGTTAAAAAAATCCCCTTACCTTCGTATCGGGTACATTTATATTGAGTTTATTCTTAAAGTTAGATTCTTACCGATGAGGAGATGCAGAAAATGTTTGGGAACATTGCTCGCCATGCATCAGTTTCACGCAGTTGTCAAAAAATGCATCTTTACTCTAAACCTCTGCAATCCAGCCTCGTCTTAATTAAGCGAAGTGTGAATGGGTTTAAAAGACATAAAAGTAAACAGCTTTTTTTTTTTTTTAATATAATAATAAGTCAAGAAAATGTTCCATGTCTATCACACTTTTGTAATCTTTATAAGCGGATTAAGGGTCGAATGATTAAACTTGTGTTTCCATCGAAATTGATCGGCCTACATCGCGAATCAAAACAGGGATTTGTGAAGGTGACTCGAGCAGAGTTTAGCACGTAGCTATTTTATGCAGCAAGATGGAAGAAAGAACAAAAAAGAAGGGATGAACAGTTTAATCATTGACGTATTTCCCGTTTTATTTCACGGTCATGACATTGATATAACATGTATGTCCTGATTTCCATTGTGTCTTCACTGAAATGTATCTGATATTGATATAACATAGCTGAAATGATATCCATTTTTAATGTACATCTGATATTGAAATAACATATATGTCATGCTATTCATTGTTTTTCACGGTAATGTACATTTGATTTTGATATAACATAGATGTCTTGATAGTCATCTATAATTCATCAGCATTTAAATTTTAGAAATTATTGTCAAGTGAAGATTATTTTTGAAGATATTTTTTTAAATTTCAAATTTTAAAATCTATAGACTTGTGGTTAAGTAGATTACATTTACTGGCAACGTGAACTAATATTTAAATTATTATAACATAGAAAATCTCTCAAACCTACCTTAAAAAAAAACGATACCTAAATGAGAGTCCTCGATAGAAAGAGAAAGAAATGGAGCATGAGAGAGAGAATCAGAGAGGGAGAGAGAGAAAGAGAGAGGGGATGTATTTAGAGAGACAGAAACGACATTGTCACAAAATAATGAGGTTGGGATCCTCGAAAGACGAAGAAGAAAGACCGTCATGGAGAGAGAAACAAAGGAAAATAATTTAGCTAGAAAGAAAAGGTTTAGCAATGTATTTACCGCGAAAGATGGAGGGAAAACCTAAAAATATATTTTTGAGACCCGTCAATAAAGTTACGGCCTTCTAAAAAGCATCTTAGATATAGCGTCCGTCCATCACCTTGAGGGATTTGTGACGTTACGCCCTTAATCTCAGCTCCAAAATGTGTGTAAATTCCCGATTTTTAACCAATCAGCAACACTTTAGTTCATTCATTATTTTTTTTTATCTTTCTTCAGATATCGAAATCGACAACTTCCTGGTCACTAGCTTCGCGCGTTCAGCAATGTTCTCAATAATAGGCTTTAAAAACCAATCTCAAAATCCAGAGGATACAAGAATCAATTCATTCTATTTATAGATAAGCTTTTTAAATTTTTTTATTATCGGTTTGACAATGTATAATCAATAGATTCCTAAAAATAAAAATGCCCCACCCCCCCCCAACAATCGGTCAATAAATAGGTCGCGACTTAAATTTTCACCCTGGAGTGTAAAGATGAAATGGGTAAAATCTAAGTTTTATGAAGGCCGGAGAGTTGTTAAAGGATTCCGTCCTTGGAGGATGTGAAACTGCTCAGAGAAGAAAAGGGACCTTGCTGTGCATTTTCTGCATGCTTGTTTCTCATCGTGCTGCCAATTGTATCGTAGATATTTTTCTTTATTTCTGTGAACATATTCGTTCAACTTTTCTTCCATTAAAGCGTTATCCCATGGAGGACGAGTCTCCATTTTAAGAAATAAAATTGCCAGATCTTATCTCCGTCGTTGACAGAATGCTACAGAGAAACTAATCGTATTTATTTATTTTAGGTAGAGTGAAAATTAACAACATAGTATTCACAATTATTATTATAACGCTTATTACGGAAAACTAGGGAAATTTATTCATTGATTCTAATCACTTGTATCAGCAATAATAAGCTATTTAAATATGATCTTTCGAGGACCGAAAGCTCACTTATTGGAATATTTTAGTAACGTGGTATCTGGGGGACTGTGCCTGAACGCCTCAGGGTCCCGCATCGCCGAGGAAACTTGGTGGTGTCACATGGGGTTGGCCTCTTCGTGGCCTGCCAGACCAGTGGGGAGACACGTTCTCCCAAGCCAAAAAATCCCGGCCCACTTGCATGACTTCCAACGCAACGGAAGAAACGCAATAACATGATTACTTGTTGCCGTTACTGGATATGTGGTCTGGGGTGCCGAATAAAGCCCATTCCGATGAGTAAAAGTACGCGGCCGTGAGAAAGCCGCTTCTAGGCGACCGTTTCGTCCCAGCTTTCTAACCGACCGAAAGACTCCTTGGAAGGTTGCGGGTGGTAACGCAACACCTTTCCCGCGGAGTGGAAGCAAAGCCGCCCTGACTCTCGGGAGAGTGGACCGCGAACGCTTTAAACGCAGCGTTTTCAGTCGACCGGACGTCCCCCAGGCCAGGGGGGAGGTTCCCGGCGTGCTTCCGCTCGGTCTAGCGGCGGGGAGACCCGGCGCCTGGCCCGTGTTGAGGTGTGCAAGGGGGGGGGGTATTAAGAGCTCGCGCTCAACGACCCACCGAAGCTATTTCCCAATTAGACGTTATTAGTAACGTGGGATTGTGGTTCTGTTTTTTTCGGTTTATAACGTGAAAGTCCCTTCACTCAAATCCGTCCACGTTTCAATGTATCGCATGGTTGCCATCTCAGCCTTGAGTTCAACGCGTTCGTCAAACTACGGTTAGATTTCGAACGGATCATTCTTCTGCGGTGTAACAAACATGATAATTGTCACAGCGAGACAGCTGACACGGATTATCTCTATCCCACCTTTTCTAAAAAATCCGGTCACAGTCGATACAGTTTTGTCGTCAGCAGTTCCCTTAACTGGACACGGTTAAAAGCTTAAGTAAAATGCCCCCCCCCCCACCTCATAATCCAAACAACCCCCTGTAGTTTTTGTGCGACATCCGACGACATAAACAAATTATTTCGGATTTAGGGGAAAACATGTTTTGTTTGTTTTGAAACAAAGTGAAATGGAAAAGAAGACTTATGTTTGTGAGAATAAATGAAAATCAAAAAGTGCATGGGATAAGGGATATCTGTGAGGAAAAAATTCAATTTCATTTGCAGAATGGAAGGACTGATATGTTCATTTTTCTTTTTTTTTTTTTTTTGAATTTTCATTGCTTTCTTTAAAATGTTCGTGGAAATATCAAACGATCTTTCTCACATTTTTCACCTATAATTCAGAATTTCACTAAAATATTATATTAGCAAAAAAAAAAAAATGATTAACTGAATCTCTCTCTTTTTTTTTAAATGTGAATATTATTAACATTACCATGACTTACCACCTTTTTGCCGATTTGTTAATGTTCAGCAGCCATAAGGAAAGTGAAAAAAAAGCATGTTATAATCAAAGTATCATCACTACTATTGGGTTCTAACACTGATGAAGTTTTTAAAAAAAAATTAACTAATTTAAATTTTATCACTTGCAAAGTTTGGGGGGGGGGCAATTAAGAAAAATGTTAGAACCCTTTTCTAAATGATATCCTATTTTGATAATAGTATTTCTTCGATTTTTAAATCCCCTTTCAGCTGTTGTATAAATACTGTGTTTCATTAACCCTGACTTCTTCCTACAACTCAACATGCCGGCCAAGATGTGCTTAGTTATATTGCTCGTGGGTGTCACTTTATGCAGCGGCGCGGTTTTGCCGTTAACTGATACACCGAATGGAGGATCTGCAGCCAACACAACTGCGACAGCAGCGACGACAAAACCACCACCAACAACAAAACCACCACTAACAACGGCAGCAAAGGTTACAACAACGACGAAACCAACGACTGCGACAGCGAAAAAGACCAATACGAGAAAACCCAAGACAACTACCACTAAAAAGACTACAGCGAAGAAACTCCTACAACTAATATCTACATTGAAGGCTACACCTAAAACTTCAACAACAGAGCCAACCACTAAAACGGACATCGAAACAACTTATACGATCCTTGAAATACCCACCAGCACCCTCGCCAAATTTTGCACTTACAATGGCAAGACGTACGCGGTGAGTATATAATACAATGTACTCTGTATGCTTTTTAAATCTGTTATATTAACTTCACGTTTGTTCGTGTGTTGTTGTTTTTTTAAATTGACCCACTTCCCATCATCCTATTGAACTGAAACTTGGCACATAGACTCGTTGCCGAGGGTAGCACATTCTTCGAAAATTTTCAACCCCACCCCGAACCCAGCAAAAAATCAATTTTTCCTGTTTTTCAAAGGGGAGGAACATATGTTAACGCTTTGCTCAACGAGTGCGTGTTTTAGTGTGGAGATTAACTGTGCAACTGTTGCTACGTGTTTTGTGTTTGTAATTGGGTATAAATATATCTCTTTTTTTTAATTTTAGGTTTTACATGCACTGAAGGTATATAAACACCATTCCCACAGCAAAATCGGCCGCTGCAATCACGTCAATGATACATCACCCTACAAAAACATCATGCAAAAAGAAATTTTGCATCTATAGGATTTATACGCATAACGTTAATATTTTAGGAGTTTTTTTTTTTTTCATTAGATTTCTTTCGTCATTTTGTTTGTAGTTGGAATCTTGCATCCCAACTTTGACCCACTTTCTGATGTCCCACTGAGTTGAAATCTTCTTTTCACGTACCAACCCCCCCCCCCCCCCCCCATGACAATAACACTCTTCATGGTCAGTAGGTCACCAGTGACCCCCCACCCTTCCTCACTCACCAATGAATGACCTCTATCTTGCCGTGTCCGGAAATTTGATCGAAAGAAATTTCGCCAACGGAAAATGGATCGACGGAAGTTTGATCGGACTGATATTTGGTCAAATCCTTTTGATCGAAGCAATTATTATTTTCTTATTTGAAGGTTTTGAACTATTTAAAAGACTTAAATGCATGCCAACAAGGAATAATGCATATATTTAAAGATTTTAAATTTTAATTAACTGGCCATATACATATACATATATATATATATATATATATATATATATATATATATATATATATATATATATATATATATATATAATACGTGTGTGTGTGTGTTTTGTGTGTTTGTGTGTGCGCATTCGCTCAATAAGCCACTTTAAAATATGACAACAATACTAAAAATTACTTTTTTTTTAAGCTACAGTTACCATAATATTTTAAAATAATATTTTCAGAATGTAAATAAATTTTGTTGAATATGAACGATATTTCACAGTTAAAGTAAAAAAAAAATATGACAATGAATAGCCCTCATAATGAAAAGTATACGACTTTCAAAAATGTGTTACAATCTATTTCAGTTATTGCAATTATAACTATGTGCTCGATTTTTGTTCAATTTAAATTATAACATTAATACCATGAACCCTAACAGGCAGGAGAAACGTTTTCGCCGGACCCATGCACTTTCTGTAACTGCGAGGAGAGCGGCCAATCCATGTGTGCTCAGATGAGTTGTCCGTATTGTCCGGGGGGAACCGTCTCCATACCTGACCAGTGCTGTCCGATTTGCCACCCAGAGGTTAGCTGTTTTAGTTTATATATATATATATATATATATATATATGTATATGAGATCCTTTCCGCTCGTATAAGAGTTGCATTTACCTTTACCTAAAAACATATTGCAGGGAAAGTTCAGTATGCTGCCAAATACATCTCGATACAATTTTGTACTGCTGCTTATTTTAGAGGCGCATAAAAGAGAGCAGGTTGTAAGAAAGCGATCATAAACCCCATCGTAGAAGAAGACTGTCCCCAAACTGACCAAATGGCTTATTTACACGAGTAACATAACATCGGGGTTCAAGACATAAATTGTAATGAACCCCGGTTTTACTATTTATGCGGAGTGGACAAATTCCATTTCTGGACGTCGAAAGCTATCAGGGAAAATCTTGTGACATTCTTAAGTGAATCATCGATTTTAATTTCAGAAACTAAGACTTTAAAACAGAGGAAACAGCTATCATTGTTATTTAACTTTGGTGTTTACTGCAAGCCGGTGAACACGTTAAAATATAGGAGATTGCTACAAGTCTTACATTTGGTTTATACGGTATCGAGTCAAAGGTTGTAAATTAAATAAAGAAATATCTAAGCTAAATTGTAAAGTGTAAGGATTGGTTTAATCTTTTTTTTAAAAATATAATCATTATGAAATGATCTTACGACATTCACTCAATATTCTTTTTTTTTTAATGATGTTATGAAGCTGAATATACTCAGGCGATCTTAAGTAAGAATCTAGTGGCTTTTAATGTGTACATAATCATTTCGTGGATCACACATTCAATGTCTAACTGAACACAATTTACTTCTTTTCTCCTAAACACTACAGCGCGTGTTATGTACGTTCGAGGGTGAGTTTTACGCAGTAAGTAGAATCATTCTATAAATAGCTCTTACATGTTTTAAAGACATTGAAGTGGTGGAGTTATATTTGTTAAGGAGTCATTTGTTAGAGATCGTGAGTGTCAGTCTCCAGCCCACTGCAGGTAATGATTTAAAAATCACTTCCCCCACCCCCCCCACCAAAAAGCACAACAATATTTTAGTTTAAAAGTACACGCACACCAAACACCCCCCCCCCACTTTTCCCAAAATTAAAAAAAAAATTAAAAAATTATCCTGATCTGTAAATGGCTTGGAACACTGTGTTGCTTCCACCATAGCTTAACATGAGCAGCTTGACACAATGTACATATACATAAAGAGAGAAAAAGAGAGGGAGGAAAGGGAAGAGAGATGGGATATATATATATCTATATATAGACCGACGTGGTGAAATTCGCGTTGCAAAAATTTCACCGCAAGAGCTTCTCATATCAAAGTTTGTTTCTGATTCAAGTTTTTCGAAACCGAATACACCGCTCTTTTGGTTCTTCAGGTAGGTGCAAGCTTCCACACAGAGCCCTGCACGGTCTGCACGTGCGGGCCCGATGGTCAAAACGAGTGCTCGACAGACGAGTGTCCGTACTGTGAGGGAGAGGCTGTCTACGTTGACGGTCAGTGCTGTCCGGCATGCTACCCGACGACAACCACGACCGTGAGTTGTTCTTTTTTTTTATTTTTTGGCTTAACTTTAAAGACAACCACGACCGTGAGTTGTTCTTTTTTTTTTTTGGCTTAACTTTAAGACCAGTATTGTACTTTGCGTGAACACTTAGCCATCGAGATACCTTTTATTTGAGATCATCACCCGAATCAAGAGGCGTGAGCTTCATTTAGAGAATTCTGTTTATTTTTTTATTCCAACACAAGTTAAGCCTGTGGTTCTTGCGGGTTGCATAGCCCTAGAACTAAAAAAAAAAATGTAGATCACAATAGCTGTCACAATAGATATCACAATAGATGTCACAATAGATGTCACAATAGATGTCAAAATATCTGCAACAATAGCTGTTACATTAGGTGTCACAATAGCTGTCACAATATTTTCCACAATAGCTGTCATAATATTGGCCACAACAGCTGTCAAAATAACTGTCACACGAGCTGTTGCAATAGCTGTCACAAAGGCTGTCACAGTAGATGTCACAATAGCTGTCTTAGGGCCTAAAAACGACCGTCTATCAAATAATACATGTAAAAATTCATATCAAATTGCTTGAAAAATTCACTCTAAGAAGTTTTACATTATTTTCGACCTTTCGATGAAAATGCGAGCAGAGGTAAAGTCTATAAAGAATGACCAAAACGCATTCACTTACCTCGGTACTGGCGTTTTAAAATGTGTCTCCGTTTGAAGCTACACCAGGTAATGCGTCTGACATTTTGGTTTAAGGGGGGGGGGGGGGGGGGGGGGTTGGGGGAGGGGGGACAGCATAATATCGCCACCGGCCTTTCGGGTTCTTATGCAATTCAATTTCTATTAAGAAATTTAAACAAAATAGATCGAGTTGGTGGTGGGGGGGGGGGGGGGGGGGGGGGGGGGGTGTGGTAAAAAATCTTGGCACAGCTCCAGGCGGCACTGATCCCAGCGACGCCCCCAGGAGCGCCCCGTTATTTACACATTTAATCTTTTAACAAAATGTAATCGATCTTTTAAATCATATATTTAAAAAAAAATTAAGTTAATAATTGAATTTATTATTTCATCTCTGTCAAGCAACAACCAAACTTTTGCGAAGCCAATGGAAAATATTACGCTGTAAGTATAATTCGGATTTTTCTTTGTGTTTTTAATGTTCAGACAAATTGAGCAGCCATAAGTTAAAATTTAAAATAAACGTTTTTTAAAAAAGGTATGCTTTCAAAGTACAAAAAAAAAACGTCATTTAAAAAAAAAAATTTGTGTCTAACTATATCAAAATAATACTTGGATTGAAAAAAGATGTGAACACTTCACAAAGCAGTCATGTAAGTTGTATAATACTGATTGTGGGTAGATGAAGTAAGGAGGAAAGACGACGGCCCAGGTCCACTGGTGATGTATTAAACAGAAACTCGTCCCTCTTCCCCTAGACAGCGGCGAGAACGTGACAGGCAGATCCGGCTCAGTAACAGACTGAACACAGAACAGGAGCTGCTCATTCCTGTCAAAGACAATCAAGGGCCGGAACATTCTTCCAAAAGGAACAGTTGAAGCAGCAACACCTGTCACATTTGTGTCTATTGCCTCAGGCCTTTCAAACCCTAGTTCCTGATACCCTCGCTGAGTAGCCCTTGCAGCCAGTGAAACATCCTCAGCACAGACAGGCACAGAAACACTGCAAATCTCTCATACATGCATAGGAAGCAGGACCGTTGATGCATAGATTGAGGACCCTTAATATAATATAGAAGAAGAAGGTTCAAGACGAGCAAAGTAGCGCTGCGGAAATCTCCTTCAATGCGTAAAATAAAATGTAATGCTCCCCAAAACATGGCTTTACATTACAAGTTATAAAGATTGCATCGACGTAACTGCACGCTTATGCGTTACTGAAAGAGGAAGATGAACATCGAGGTAGAGGGAGGGAGAGAGAGAGGAGAGAGAGACAGAGAGTGTGAGAGAGAAAGCGACATGGAAATTATTCCTTTCACAATCCTGCTTTTCTCAAAGCTCTCTAATGTGTTTGTGATGAACGGCTGTGGTGTGCCTACTTTATACGAACCAATCAAACAGCAGTACATTTTGTAATTAAATACATTCGGTTGTGATAATCTTCCATTCTGGGACTCACACCCAAAGCCAAGATAACCCGACCATCTAATACTCGATTTCGATTTGGATTCTTCAGGTAGGGGAAAGCTACATGCCCGACCCGTGCCAACACTGCACGTGTGCTGAAGGTGGACACCCTTGGTGCATGAGGTACAGGTGTGAAATGTGTGACGGACTGACCGTCTACGTGCCTGGCCAGTGCTGTCCAGAATGCCAACAAACAACGGTCAGTTTGTCAGTTTATGTTTAAGAGAAAAGAAACAACCAATTATTAGAGTGTGGGACTGCGATAAAGCTTTCAAGTAGATCAATGGGACACAAACAGTATGTGTAATACAACATTATATGTTTCTCTTCGTTGGGTACTTGTGCCCAAACTTATTTTCTTTTCAAGTTTAGGCACGATATATAGTTTACGTAAATTTCATTTACTCTTATTTGAATTTTTAATTTTTTTCTCTTATGTTGTACGGCTGAAGGCATTAGCAGAAACGTTTGCATTTGTATTCTGTGTAAAGATTTGTAAAGTTAATTTAATATTGCTCCATTTACACAAATTGTTTTTGTCTGGATTAATTTAAGATCAAAACTTAAGTTTCTGGCCCAACTTTAAAACAAGCTAATAAGGTTTCCTGAGCTGATTAGAATTGTCTGTCCATCTGTTCAGAGAGAATGGAACATGCTGCTGGTTTCTTAAAAGCTAAGACTGTGTACATATACTGCAGGCAGTTTGACACGTCTGTATACAATGTTAATCTTCAAGGGGAACGAAACTTCTTTATCTGTAAATTTTCCATATAATTCCAGATTTCGGATGCATTTATTCAGTAAAAACTGTTCCATCCCCAAAGCAACATCTTGTATATATTCTATGAAAGACATTCTTCTAACACAAGGACATATTTTTTTTGTTGCTTTTTGTTTTTTTCTTTGGCCTTGGGGGGGGGGGTATCAAATATGTAATTTATTAATTTTTTTTTCAATTTCTCAAACAGCCTACCTTTTGTGTAGCCAATGGAAAATATTACGCAGTAAGTACAGTTCTGAACTATTTGATTAGTCGAAGTAGGTTGTAGGTTTTCTATTTTTTCACTTACACGCAAAGTCAAGATGACCCACTATCTATTATTATTATTATTACAAAGCTCTTATATAGCTTGCCACCCCAGTCTAGGCCTTGGATCACCACACTGCACATAAAAATATTATTGAACATAACCATGAGATGAAAATAATTCATTTATTGATTTTTTTTTAAAGCTGCATAAAAATAAAACAAAAAATATATTCATCCCAAACACCCCAGAACTATTTACATGTCAAGCCATGGACGGACCACAGCAGAATCGTTTATCGGTCAGATGGGGGACGGGAATCAGTCGGGATAGTAGAGTTTGAAGAGCTGTGTCTTAAGTGCAATTTTGAAGGCCTGAATGGTCAGTTTATTGCGGATGTGTAGTGGGAGAGAATTCAATTGTTGGGGTGTGCAGAAAGAGAAAGATCGTTCACCGTATGTTTTAGTGCTTGTCTTGGAAAAAAAATACTCGTGTCTGCTGAGAAACGAAGCTGACGAAGGGGTGAATAGACAGAAAGAAATCCCGTTAGAGAAGAAGGGCAGGAATCCGAGAAGAAGATGTGACGGAGAACAAATTAATATTCACTGTCAATTTTGATTATTTAGGTCGGTGAAAGCTACATGCCTGATCCATGCCAACACTGCACGTGTGCCGAAGGTGGGAACCCCATGTGCATGCTGCAGCACTGTGATGTGTGTGACGGAGAGACGGTCTACATGCCTGGCCAGTGTTGTCCAGATTGCCACCCATCAACGGTAATTGTGTTAAGCTATGTTTACAAACAAATTCATTTTTGCAACTCTATAATAAGCTGATAACAATGGCAAGATTTAGAAGCTGAACGTTCTTATTTATTAATGAAAGAAACCATGCTATTTTTAACCTGATCGCTAGTTTTTGTAAATAAAAATTGCAACATAAACTTCATCCTTCAATTCTATAGTTCTGAACTGATCGAAATTGCATTTTGTTTCATTGATTCTCAACTAAAGCCAGGACCAAGACCAAGCACCTGTGATTACAACGGAAAAACCTATTCAGTGAGTCTATATTTAAGCTTAATTTCTTTATCTTTTAGATAAAATCTCGCTACCTTCATTTTATATCAACAAGAGTTGGCGGTTGTGGAACTTTACTATGTCCAACCTCTTGAAGGACCGATGGTTATGTCCAACCTCTTGAAGGACCAATGGTTATGTCCAACCTCTTGAAGGACCAATGGTTATGTCCAACATCTTGAAGGACCGATGGTTATGTCCAACCTCTTGAAGGACCAATGGTTATGTCCAACCTCTTGAAGGACCGATGGTTATGTCCAACCTCTTGAAGGACCGATTGTTATGTCCAACCTCTTGAAGGACCGATTGTTATGTCAAATGTGAGTGCCACAGGCAAGTCCTGTAACGGTATTCGGTGGCTTGAAGTTAAACTTTTAGCGACCACCATAACAAACTAAAGGCTTTGTAACGTTCAGATAGGCGAGAGCTGCTCCCCTGATGGTTGTTCCTACTGCACGTGCGAAGCAGACGGAGAACCTGTCTGTATGCAACAGAAATGTCCGCATTGTGAGGGAGAAACAGTCGACGTTCCTGGTCAGTGCTGCCCCGACTGCATTCTAACGACACAGATGGCACCGGAAATGGTACTTATGTTTGACATTTTTTTATTATTTTAATTAAGTTCGATAAAAAAATTTAGGTAACAGTATGCGCTATGCGCCCACCCCCACCTTCTTTCTCCCCATATCCTCCCATAAAAATGGAGTAGTTAAACTTTTCTATTCTTAGTGTGTGTGAGTGCTTGTCAACAGTGCATCCCTCCAACTGCTACACCCTCCTTGCATTATAAAGAAATAATAATTGCGCAGTTGTAGTTTGAAACTGGGACCCTCTTGATTGGAGGAAAAAGTATTCACAGTTGACCAAAATTTACACCCGATTAGGTCTTGATTTAGGACTGAATTTTGAAAATGGCGGCAGAACAATTGAGAGAGATGTTTAATACGATGGCATGATGTAACATTGCCATGGGGAATATTGTTACGACATTTCGTCTTTCTCTTACTTTGGGCGAACACTGTATTCACATTATATTTTAAATATTATGGTCATTACAAAAGTCATGAGTCTTGAGATCTACAGAGATGAAACGGACTATCAAATTATTCAAGTTATAAGTATTAAATTTAGAGTTTAACTTTATTCTCACTTGCAGGACATTGGCGAACTCAACAGTAATACAATTTCATTTTATTTTAGTTTCATTCTTTATTTAATTTTTTCTTGTAAAGTGTCTTTTACACAACACAACTTGGGCTTTACTTACCGACATGAGTTACATTTCTATAACAGCCGTTCAAGCAACCAAGTTCCTCTTTCCTACAAAAGACATGAAAACTCAACTTGAACATCATATGGATATTTCAAAAAAAATATCAAACTTCACGTTGTTCAAGATTATAACTTGTGGATTGCGTTTCAAAATGTTTATTAAATATTGAATTTGATTCATTGGACCCAAGAGTTCCCTAGTGTGTCCACATCATACAACCAATGACTATCATGCTATGCAACTTCCAAATTTCAATCAGATTCCGCTAACCAAAAAAATCATGTCATTTGTGTTTGGTTAACATACAATTTTACTGAAATTTTCTTAAACGAAATCAATTTTAAAAAAAAGTAAATCTTTAGATCCCTTAACGATTCCAAAACTAAATTATTCAATATGATGAATCCTTATATATCTACAGGTGTTTTGAATTGTCTGATAACAAAATATAATTTAAAAATGTATTTCCGAATATACACACCATTACTTTCATACACCAATCATGCATCAACGAATGTGTACCTCTGATGGGTTCTGAACGACAGCCGACCTCTACGATCAGTTGTTGCGAGTACGATGGAAAGACATATTCAGTGAGTAGAATTCAAATTACAGTTTTTAAAATAAGTATTTCATTCACAACAAATATCTCAATTTAATTTTTTACCGTATATGCTTGCATATAAGCCGAATTTAGAACTATAAAATACAATACTGAAATCATAAAAAAATTAACACAAAACAGACACTCGTGCCAATTTTCCAGCCACACAATTTCATCGCTGTCTGACTTTTTATTTGGTTGTGTGCACTGAGTACTAATATATAGATATATACAGAGGTGTCACTTTCTTTGTCATTCCAAAAGGTAAACAAACTGGTATGTAACATAAAAGTAAGCATTTTACATCTTTACAGAAACACATTTCTATGAACCCAAAATATGGAGTAAAATGAGACAATTGTATGGTCAGCTTATATGCGGGGTTTTTTGCCAAAACTGGCCATTTGAAAGCAGTTTTAGGGGTAGGGCTTATATGCGAGTATCCTCATCCTCATGTCCCTGAGTCCTTGGACCGTTGGGGCGCCACAGATGACATGTGAACCATATTCCTCCATTCCTCTCTGTCTTATGCGAGTATATACGGTATCTAATTTTTTTAAAAAAATCTAAATTTCCTTTGAGCTCATTATTAAAACACTATAATTAATTTTGACTATTTATTTTCTTTACATAAATCAACTGTAACTTCCTTCAATTTCAACAATCGTTCCTTTTTAAAAAAAAAATTTATTAAAAAATTACAATTTTACATTTTTTGCCTAAAGAGTCCGCGATCTGAAAATTAGATATGCTTTCCTAACTTCTGCATGCAGTACACTAAAAACACAAAAAAGTATTGGAAAGATTAAATACATATAGATCGATACTGAGAGAGAGAGAGAGAGAGAGAGGATCATTAGGCGATACTAATGAAACACGTAATGGAATGGCGCACACCAAATGTAACGCTCTAATAACGGCCGACGATCTATTCAAAAGAAATACTGGTCTAGATTTAAGGTTACGGATATTATAACTCCAACATAACAGCACAAACTGTATACTTTAAACGTATTAAGGTAGGTGAAAGTTTCTCACCTGATCCATGTTCCTACTGCACGTGCGAAGCAGATGGAGAAACCCTGTGCATGCAAGCAGGATGTCCGTATTGTGAGGGGGAGACGGTCGACGCTCCTGGTCGGTGCTGTCCTGACTGCATTCCAACGACACAGAATACACCAGAGATGGTACTTATGTTTGAATTATTTATATTTATCAATCTAATTAATTTCGATACTATTATTTTCGATGTACAGTATGCGCCCAACCCCCATATCCCTTCTCACCATATCCTCCCATCAGAACAGTAGAAGCGACCCTCCTCGATCTTGAATGCACTTATGTACTTTTTGACACTGCATCTTTTAAAGTTCTACACCCTCCTAGCAATGAAATGAAATACATATTGGGTATTTGCTGTTTGAAATGTGTCTTTTGATCGGAGGAAAAGGTCTTCACAGTAGACTATTATTTATACCCACTTAGGTCGTGATTTAGGTCTGACTTTGAAAAAAAAAATGCGAGAGAGATTAAATTAGAAGTCCTTATGTAAAACGGCCATGGGGAATATTGTTACGGGAATTCGCCTTTCTCTTACTTTTGGCGCACACTACATTAACATTAAAATTTGAAATAGTATCATCACTACATATGTAATATTTCTTCTCATCTACGGAGATGAAACTGATTATCCATTCAAAGTAAAGTTTGAACATTTAGATTTAACATAAAAGCACCTTACAGGACTTGAGCCAACTCAACAGTAATAGAGTAGATGAGCGTAGCACAAAATTAACACTAATGAACTTTGTTTCCCATTTTTTTTTTTTTAAGTTTCTTTTTTTTTTAAAAGTTTCTTTTACAAATGACAATTTAGGTTTTACTTTACCGACAGCTGTTACATTTATATAAGAGACTTTCAAGCAAACCATTTCCTTTTCTTTTTTTTTTAATTTTTTTTTTTTTTTNCACGTTTTTCAAGATTATAAATTTTTGACCACATTTCGAAATTCTAAAAAAAAAAAAAAATTGAATATAATGCAGGTAACCTAAGGGTTTCTCCGTTGTGTCTACATGATACAATTAATGACTAACTGGTTGTGCGACTTACACATTTCAGTCAGTATCTTTTACACTAGAAGTACGTATGTTAATCTGACGTTTCACACCTCTTTGATTAACATTGCAATTTGCACACAAATACTTTTCAATAAGATCCATTTTAAAAGTTTATTTCTTTGGCGATTCCACTTTTTAAATGACTGAATACGATGAGTCTTAAAGACTTTTACATTGTATCATTACATTTTTTTTGTTTAAATTTGTATTTTTGATGTACACATCATTACTTTCATACCACAATCCTTCGTCAATTAACATTTACCTCTGATGGATTCTGAACGACAGCCGACCTCTACGATCAGTTGTTGCGAGTACGAAGGAAAGACATATTCGGTGAGTACAATTCCATTGGTAACCTTTCAACTAACAGTTCAGTCACAAAAAAATACCTTTTTCTTTTTGCAAGTAAAAGAAAATTAACTCAATTTACGTTATTAACATTTTTGCTTAAAGTTCATCATGAAAAAAGTGAACATTAATTGTCAACAGACACTTTCTAATTTTTCTACAATTGTTACTTTATTAACATGAAACAATTGTTACTTTCTTAACATAAAACAAGTGTTACTTTCTTAGCATAAAACAATTGTTACTGTCTTAACATA